AGTTAGTAGTAGTTAGTAGTAGTTAGTAGTAGTTAGTAGTTAGTAGTTAGTAGTAGTGAGTAGTTAGTAGTTAGTAGTTAGTAGTAGTCGTCGTCGTCGTCGGAGTTGGGCGCGCAAAGGGGTGTAAACCGTTCAAGTATGTGGTGTCGGTAGGGTATGAGTAAAACTCCCCATTTATATAGACCCAAACTCCGATAGCATTGCGCAAATCAACTTGCAGCTGCTGGACACTTGCCCTAACACGAAATATCCCCGGCGCACCCGCCCCTTGCTCACGTGCTTTCCTGCTTAGTTCCAAACGAACCTCTGCCAAACAACCAGTCGCCCACAGCACCACTGGCATCAAAAATGATGGTTCCAAAGCCTGAACCTAACAAGATGGAGCCCACGAACCCGGATGCAAACACGTTCGAAAAGCTATATACATATGTCCAAATGACACTCTTGTAGGACACTCTAATGGGACACTCTTGTGGGACACTCTTGTAGGACACTCTTGTGGGTCACTCTTGTAGGACACTCTTGTGGAACACTCTTACAGGACACTCTTGCGGGACACTTTTGTGGACACTCTTGTAGGACGCTCTTGTGGGACACTCTTGTAGGACACTCTCGTGGGACACTCTTGTAGGACACTCTTGTGGGTCACTCTTATGGGACACTCTCTTGTGAGACACTCTTGTAGGACACTCTTGTGGGTCACTCTTACACGACATTCTTGTAGGACACTCCTTGTGGGACACTCTTGTAGGAAACTCTTGTGGGATACTCTTGTGGGACACTCTTCTGGGACTCTCTTGTAGGACACTCTTGTGGGACACTCCTTGTGGGACACTCTCATAGGACACTCTTGTGGGTCACTCTTATGGGACACTCTTGTCGGACATTCTTGTAGGACACTCTTTCAGGACACTCTTGTGGGTCACTCTTATAGGACACTCTTGTCGGAAATTCTTGTGGGACACTTTTGTGGGACACTCTTGCAGGACACTCTTGTGGGGCACTCTTGTGGGACACTCTTGCAGGACACTCTTGTGGGACACTCTTGCGCGACACTCTTGTGGGACACTCTTGTAGGACACTCTTGTAGGACACTCTTGTGGGACACTCTTGTGGGACACTCTGGTGTGACACTCTTGTAGGAAACTCTTGTGGGACACTCTTGTAGGACACTCTTGTGTGACACTCTTGTAGGAAACTCTTGTGGGACACTCTTGTAGGACACTCTTGTGGGACACTCTTATAGGACACTCTTGTGGGAAACTCTTGTGGGACACTCTTGTAGGACACACTCTTGTGGGACACTCTTATAGGACACTCTTGTGGGACACTCTTGTAGGACACTCTTGTGGGACACTCTTGTGGGACACTCTTGTGGGACACTCTTGTAGGAAACTCTTGTGGGACACTCTTGTAGGACACTCTTGTGGGACACTCTTGTGGGACACTCTTGTGGGACACTCTTGTAGGAAACTCTTGTGGGACACTCTTGTAGGACACTCTTGTGGGACACTCTTGTGGGACACTCTTGTGGGACACTCTTGTAGGAAACTCTTGTGGGACACACTTGTAGGACACTCTTGTGGGACACTCTTACAGGACACTCTTGTGCGACACTCTTCTGGGACACTCTTGTGGGACACTCTTGTGGGACACTCTTGTAGGACACTCTTGTAGGACACTCTTGCGCGACACTCTTATAGGACACTCTTGTGGGAAACTCTTGTGGGACACTCTTGTAGGACACTCTTGTGGGACACTCTTATAGGACACTCTTGTTGGACACTCTTGTAGGACGCTCTTGTGGGACACTCTTGTGGGACACTCTTGTAGGAAACTCTTGTGGGACACTCTTGTCCTCCAAAAGTCACGCTTCGAGGCTGCAAGATGAGCGTTTCGTACGAGACTTCCTCCAAAAGTCACACGAGGTTCACAAAGTGCTGCGCCTGCCACGAAATCTGCACATGGAGGTTCACAAAGTGCTGTGCCTGCCACTAAAAGTGACAAT